TTGTGTTGTGTTGTGTTGTGTTGTGTTGTGTTGTGTTGTGTTGTGTTGTGTTGTGTTGTGTTGTGTTGTGTTGTGTTGTTCCTTAACGTCTTACCCTGAGTATAAATTTCTACTCTCAAGCAAGGAAGGCCTTTCCATCTTAAGGGCACTAGACGAACTGATCGAGCTTGAAAGGGGTGCAGAACAGCGTTTTTCACTTCTTTCCAGGCAAATGAATTCCCAGCAAAAATCTATAACAAAAGTAAAAATTACATGACTATAATATAATAATAAGATAAATATACTATAGAAATGTTATGTAAGAACAATTATCATATCAGAATAAGGGGACGGGGATGGGGACGGGGAGAAATAAATTTGGTTACCTTTTTTCTTCCATTTTCTGTATAGTTATACCACAATGTACCGTTCATAGTATGCATTAAGGAATATGACAACACGATGTCCTTGTTATATGCTCCTTGTGTTCCTACATAGATTATGACCTGTGGCTGGATCAGATCAATCTGGATCCAAGGGTTCGTATCAGTTGACGATGCACACCATGCATTCATGCATTTTTTCCAAGGGAACAAGAAACGAGCTCGATGTGCTGGTGTTTCACAGGCATAAGAAGACGCTGTCATGGCCTCGTCTGGCAAACTTTCAACCAGCTTGTTTCCAACTGAAGAAGTGAACGTGGAAATTACTCATGATGTAATGTTAATGTATCTCGCATGAGAGCACGCACATGTAAAGCCCCCGAAGGAAGGGAAGGCTGGAAGGGGAAAGATGAGAAAGAGGTAGGGGATGGACGAAAAGGAAAGGGAAGGAAGTACGATAGGGTTAGGGGGAAGGGGGAAGACGTGGAGACCATAGAGTGCTTTTTAAAACATCTTGAGGAAGCCATATTCAAATTCCCCATTTACTAAATTTCAAATCCACAACCTCTGGGAGTCATCCAGTGAAAGTGTCATAGTGCAACGGCTTGGCCTGTACCTTGAGATTTGCTCTGCATCGAGCTTAATGTTAAAAAACATTTGGCAAGAAAAGGAGAAAAGAAGACACATACCATTATCGACTACTTCTATTCGCATACAAATTCTTTCCTTCCAATTCCGAACCTCGATCATCAAACTCGACGCTTCAATATCAATATTTTTAATGACTTTTTGATTTGGATCTAAGATGTTGCCTAAATCCAGTTCCTTCAAGATAAAATGGTGAATAAATTAAAATGAATAACGATTAGATGTAAAAGGCCGGTAAGATTATGAGGACATTCGTAGAAAATGAGAATTATCAACTATAATAATCACTTTTGACAGGGTATTTTGCTATAATGTATCTTCTTAAGTGTTACTGGTAAACCAAAAGAAAGATTCCTTTTTTCCTTAAAAGGAAATGGCACGTGGTCTTACATCTGGGGAAAACAATGTATATAGCCTATTGACGAGATTAATGAAAAGATAAACTTAATTTAATAAAGTGAGTCACCAAAAATCTACAAAGCTGAGACCGCTTTGGGGGGCCTGGGGCCCGGGGGG